CATATCCATACAAACAAGAGTACTTTAAGTCCCTATCTTTAGCATTCATATACAGTATACAAATATGTAGTAATACACAATGTAGTTGTATGCAAATATAAGTGTTCATTAAAGTATTTCAACAATAATTGCCCTTGAACTGAATTCTGGTATGTAAAACAAGTATTTCAACAATAATTGCTGTGGAGACCCTTGAACTGAATTCTGGTATGTAAAAAGATAATGAGTGACAATACGGGAAAATACAATTGTTACAATACAAAGACATAAAACGTCTGAATTTGAGAATTTAAATTTTGTGACAAATGCTGTACATTGAAAACACTTAAAATATAATTATAGCCACATATAGTTTTACATTATAGTGTTTTATACAAAATGTGTTTGTTTTTAAGTTAAGATTAATGACATCATTATCTAGTGGAGTACAGAAAGTCTGGTGAAATGAAAATAAGCAAAAAGCCTCCAAAATAAACAGAACTCATAGTACAGTGGTACTGTAGTAATCAATCTGATTTTTTGAAGGCAGGTCACAGTCCTGTCATAGAGCCAATAAGAATTTGCCTGTTTGGATTTTGATCTTAGCACACTGTGTGGTGGCCTTGGTGATTCTTTACAAATAATGTCTCACACTGCCACGTAACCTTCTCTGTCAGTGCTTTGATGAGTGCATCAGTTTCTCTTTCACTGCTGAAAGGAAGACAGAGTGAGGACAAACACATACCCCACAATATACAGTAAAAAAAAGTCCATGCCCCCCACCAAATGTTATGTTGGCTTTCATTTTCTAATTTTTTTTGTCCATTTCAAAGTCAGTAAGCACAGGTGTGGTGGCTACTTATTATCCTTTTGTGCCTCCTGTGTACAGCAGAAAAAAATTCTTATCCTCTTTAAGGAATCTGATCATTAGACATAATACTTCCTATCAGCATTATCAGGGGATGTCTGGTGACTGGCAATTATCATCCCAGGGGTTCAGGACTGTGATCTTTTATCCTGTTCTTATTTTTAGCAACTGTCACGAGAATGCTTGAAAAGGCTGGTCTATTCATTGTGTGCCATGTACATGCTTAACCTGGTGCCATCTAAGTACTGAATGAAACCCCTGTGGACGCGGGCTAATAAGACACTTTGCCAGGAGAAGAGACCATGTGGACATTGAGACAGATATAAAGAAATCCACCAAGCTGTCATAGAACACAAGACCTTAGTCACACTTGTTCATGCAATGTGCCCACACCTTTGCTCATTAAATACCAGCAAACCTGTTTATAAACAGCCAGAGCTTAAATTGATTATTAATGTGCTATGGAGGGAGATTTGTGCCTTTTTGAGCATGACTCTAATACCGTCTCAAATTTATTCAAATTTTACCTGTTTTGTAGTTCTTTTGATAAACATTCAGATTTCAAGTTGCAGATCAGTTTATTAAAGGTTTTCACATAGATGTTATATCCCCATGACCCCAAAGGATTCTGTATTTTTTTATTTTTATCATCTCATCTCTCGTCTCCTCATCTGGATTTGTTTCACCTCATCTCATTTCATCTTATCCCATCTTGTCTCAACTTGCCTTACCTCATCTCTTTGCATCTCGTCTTGTCTGATCTCATCTCATCCTCTGTCACTTCTTCTCATATTGTCTTGTCTCATCTCATCTCATTTCATCGCTCCTGGTCTCATCTAATTTCATCTCATTTTGTCTCATCTTGTCATTTCATTTCATCTCATCCCACATCTTTGTATTTAGTTTCGTGTCATTCCATCTCATCTTGTTTAGTTTCAGTTTATCTCACATTGGTTTGTAAGTGAAGATGGCTGATCTTACTTTTCATCCTGCATCCTGTGTTTGTTTTCACACAGCACTAAAACTAAAAATAGTACCCTCACACTGAGGATTTATGTTCAGAGAACTGTTGTCCTCAAGCTCATACAAATATATTCTCCATTAGTGTCTGAATATAATGAATGTTCATTGCTCACCTGTGTGGGGGAGTCAGCTGCTGCTAACATTTTACAGCCATTTAATGTTTCTCCACTCATGTTCATTTTCATTCCTTCCTTGTATATATTTCATATGATAGTGTTAACTTTATCCTTTTTCTGCTCATTTCAATAGGCAGAACAGTGTTGTCCCAAACTTGGCTGGATATCTGATGCATTTACCACAGTGTCGTCAGTGCTGAAACTGAAAAATTGTCAATAGGCGTCAGAGGGCTATATAACGTCACACTGACTGTGCTAGTCTCACTATGAGAGGTAACTAATTTCAGTATGCTTTGACTTGCTTTTGGCTTACAGCATCAGGCACTGGGTCACATGTAAAGCTATGAGCCGTTTTAACAAGAGTATAATTAAATTAAGAAACAGCGCCACAAAGTCGAAACCAAACACTGAAAATGTGGAGGTGACCAAAGATAAGGAGCATATGAAGAAAAATAAACCCTCAGGGAAAGGAAAATTTATTGCTAAATGAAAAATAGGGCATAAATCTCATAACTGTCAACGACTGATTTGACCTTCATTCATATGTTTGCAGATCAAGATAAACTGCTGCAACATTATGTAATGATGTAATATAAACAAAAAGATAATCGTGAATTATTCATCAGCTTTCAAAACAAAGTGGGACTTTTACATGAGTAAATCAAAATGTAAACCTTTCAGGACTAAAATGAAGTACACTCCACAATAATAAAATGAAACAGACCCATCCAAAGTGGAAAAAACTATATGTATGCAAATGTAAAAGTGATGTCTTTTTAAAAAAAAATATTATGGAGGCAGATCTTTCAAGCCTTACCTGTAAAACCCTTTTATGAAACAAAGAAATTGTAATACACATGTGCAAATGCAACTACATGGTGTCAACTGCCTCTTTTTTCACTGTCAGGGACCAAACAATAAGGCAGAGGACACAGCTTTTAAAGTAAAAAAAAAGGGGTTTTGATTAACCCAAAAACAAAGAAAAATATAAACAACATAAACACCAAATAAACTGGACCCTAAAAGAGATCAACAAAAGAAAAGGAAACTCAAAATATAGCAAACCTATGTGCACAATACCTCAAACAAAAACCAACTGGGGGAACATATATACTGGCTGCCCAACCCAATAACACACACAGGGGAATGGATACTATCAGATTAATCTACCAGTAAACACTGAATAGACAGTCTGCTGACAACTAAAGGTTTTTCTTTAAATGTAAAGAAATTAACATAACTTGACAAATAAAGTTTTAACATAAACTACAAACAAATAATACATTTCTCCCAAACTCCCCCCTTCCTTGTATTGGGCATTTGGTGCAGTCCAGGCCTAGTGGGAGGTATTTAAACCTGCTGCTTCCTCAGTCTAGTCTTTTTTTGTCGGGACCCCCCCAATCCATGGACTGGGAACACACTAACTCAAAAGAAAATTTTACACGCATTAACAACACAGAATTAACCAAATGGGCATGCTTCATTGATTAATTATGCATGTCCAGTGTCAAAGTCAAATACCTAACCTCTACCTGCAACTTAAAGCTACACACATGGACAAAGAAAAGAAAAGATTACCCAACCAATTCTACTGCTGGTGGTGGTTTAGGCCCTCACATGGTGGAGGCCTGGGCTGAGGCCTCAGGTGGCTGTCATTCACTGACTCACTGTGCTCAAGGCATTTAAAGTAGAACTTTAAAGGTCTTCTTGTGCTGGGAAAAGAGAGAGAGCACATATATAAGGTGACTCTTGTCTGTAACAAGAGCCCTCTGTTTTAGAAAATGAAAATGCATCAGCTGACCAATTCTGTCAGCACTATACTGTACATACATTGATTTTAGTTCAGTTTAACACAAAATGCAGGCTTAGCAAAATTTACAGAATTTATGTTCATTGCTTATACATCAAGAACAATATTAATGTTGATGTTATGATGCTAAGTGTGGCCCTTTGCTCTTCATGAAGTTCTCCTAATGCCATGATTTGACATATAATTTTGATGGTAAACCTGCCATTATGTTTTGCAAATCAACTGTGATGATTAATATTAAAGAGAATAAAACAAATGCATGATAAAGTGATGCAAAGTATTTCAATTCACAATCAGATAAATGATATGTTTGTAAATGATAAAGCAGGTGATTTTCCCAGCTTGTTATTTTTCAGAAATTGCACAAAACGTGGGATTGCACATGCTAATTAGCCATTTTTGAGCCTCCTGGATTCTCTTGACTTACATTTGTAGGACATTTGTGCTTTACTTCATTCAAGATCTGACAGGAGCAGAAGCTGACAAATTGGTCTTCTTCAATTTCATCACAGAGAGCTGTTACAATAAAGAAGTGTTTTCTTTCACCAGGTGTAGGTACACAGTGTTACAATGTGAACTCTGACATCACCACCACATTACATAAGCATCACGGTTTCAGTGCAATCATGGCATGTGCTAGTGTGAACAGTGCCTTGTTATGTGCAAATGGCTGCCTAACAAACAGCCTAACGCCAGGGCTCAGAAGCAGAACTGACGTGTAGATATGGGAATGGTTCATTGAACTTGCCAACATGTAAATGTCCTAATTTAACCACAGTTCAATTCCAACTATATTTATAAAGCACTAAAAACAACCGAGGTGGACAGTTGCATGTGAAGTGAAATTGGAAGAATTATACCAGTGACATAGAAACAGCGGTGTAGCCAATATGGTCGAACAGATTATTTGTTAGTTTATCACCAAAATGACAAAACTTTGCTAATTCAGTAAATTGTCAGCCATCAGGCGGCTATCTCGACAATTCAGAAATAAGTAAAAAAAGTCATTTATCTAAACACAGCACTTCTTTACATCAGAATAATCTGGATTTGGAGACTACAGTTCCCAGAGATCTGGGATTTTTTTGCTATGGTCACATGGTCCTGTTGCACAGGTGTGCTTCTTCAGAACTCATCAAGTGAGTATGGGCTGCTGTTGTTGTCTGCACGTTTTTTCTTAGTTTGTTAAAATGTGTTCTTAGATTCAGTACTTTTATTTTTATTCATTTATTGTTACTGGGGCAATACAATAATCTTTAAAGCTGATGTAGTGAACATGTTCACTTACCCAGCAGACATGGAGCAGCATTAGCACTGATGTGAAGTCATGTTTCTGGCCACCTGATGAATGTAAGTCTACTCTCATTTAGCTCAGTTTTTGTTTTTACCAGCAACTGCATAGAGAAAAAGCTGACTCATTCAAAGATAAATATTCTATTTATTCCAGCTAGTCATTCATTTTGTCTGCAGATTGGCACTGGGCAGATAGTGTACATAACGCCTGTCCCATCACTGTGATGTTATAAAAGCTAGAGCACACACAGCTCTGTGCTTACATTTGTTTTTAAGGGGCACTCATGAAACTGACACAGATTAAAATTTAGGGCCACGGTTATGTTTCTGTTATAAAAGAAATTACATTAATGCTACTGCCTCAGTATTAAACAATGACAAAAGTAGTAACAAATGAAGGTGAATGTGGTGACGTGGGTCTGCACTGACTGTATTTGGTGGAGGAAGACAGACATGAGGGAGGTCACAAAGAAGACCGTGCAGCTGTTGTACTGCACAGAGCACCACAGCAATGCAAGCCAAGAGTAAGTACACCCTACAGCTAGCTAGCTATGCCTTTACCCCAGAATGCACATTCCCTTGCTTGATGACATCCATGTACACACTGAGAGCCACTCAAATTCCTCGTGTGTCCAAATCACCTGGCCAATAAAGCTGATTCTGATTCTGAAGTGCATTTTTTTTCTACATGTTCTTCCTCCATGATGAGAACAGGTGGCACCATTGGGTGTGGTTTCAGTGTTCTCACCCAACACACGTGCAGCGTTTCACAGCAGAGAATACTCCTTATTTTGTCATGATTTTAAAAGCTTTAACGTACTTGGTGACATTTTTTATCATTTAAATTAGGTTGCAGTGATTATTAACTTTCCTGTGGCGTGACTTTAAGTTTGAGGGCTACAGTATAAAACCAAAACAGCTGAAAAAATGCAAACAGTGATAGGAGAAAGTGATCGCTATTTCTCTGTGGGATCATTACTACAAGCAATACCTTTTTGTTAAAAGCTGGAACATGCTTACCTTATCTAAGGTTTGGGTCTTGGCCACTTCCTCCAGATATTCCCAAAACAACCACATTCATTTAATATGAATACATCTGTGGAGGTGCCATTGAAAGAAAAATAATTGAAGTTTTTATAAAAGCTATTGTCCTCTAAACTAGAAAATTAGTCATTTCATACAAACAACTTGTTTGTCACTGGGTCAACTAATATTTTCACTGTGGACTGTCATCTTGTACTTTTATGACATTAGTGTTTTTGTCTCTCCACTTTCCAAGAATTCAATAACAGTCACTTCAAATTAATTGCAGTCTTTGTGAACAAAACTTTCCATATGTTGCTAAGATAAGTAGTAATGTACAAACAATGCTGGTTGCCTGGTTCCAAAGTGGCTCATTGTGGATGCAGTTTAGTAAGATAACAGTCTAATGAGGCATCATTTCTCATCACTGACGTTTACAGACCGGGGGAAAATTGATGGATACTGTTTTTGTTTAGCAAATGCAATTGAATAGTGTTAAAATGTGTATTAGACTGTTTGATTTATCCTGTCCTGACTGAGGCAATCTGGATATAACATGTTCCTGTCATATTTAGAAACCAATTTGAAAGTTTTTGCAAACTGTGCAGTGAAAATGAATCGTTTAACATGTGCCTTGTGTTCTCGTGCATCTTAACTTGCTACAAGTAAAACCACATTCATGCTATTCTCAATTCAAAGATACAGACTGCAGTCATTTGCATATTTCTCCTGTGACTGATGCCCTGGTAGTTTTCCTCTCAGCTTTGAAACACTGTATAGAGGTGTGATTGGCCCTGTGCTGCCTCTATTCCTAGGCCCTTATTTCTGTTGAATTTTTATGTTCTTTAAAGGGGGAATTCACCACTTTATACATCAAAGTCTGTTTACAGGACTAAGGATAGACTGGACTTCAAAATAAAAGTTGGATAAATTCTTTTGTGGCTTCAGAGGGAGCAGAGCAAAATTCAGTTCTTAATCATTAAGTACCCTTTTAATGGAAGTGATTAAATGATCAGTGCCATTACAATTCAGCTGTATTTTAGATGATAAACTAGTCTCCAAATCTTGCAGTACCTTCTCCAGCTCCTGACCTGTGCTACAAGGACCATGTACCAGAACTGAATAAGGAAGTGTTTCTTTTACTGGCAATGAACCATGGAATAATCTCCACCTAAATACGAAGGCATTTGCTCTCTTCTGTAACGTGAAGACTGCTGTCATTAATGTTGATTTAATTGGAAAGAGGCCTTTTAACACATGTAGTAAAAGTGCTTCTAAGATTAATTAGTGGTTTTTAATTTGTTGCTTTCTCATTCAGTATTTGTGCATTTTGCTCTGTGTCTCACCTCTTTCTGAAGGTGCTGTCATCTCTGCTGTATCAAGTCATATGGAAATTGGTTTTCAGTTGCACTTTTAATAATCATTTTAATTTTCAGAGATGTTGGTAATAAAACATGGCGCAAGCACAACTGGTCTCAATTAATGATTCATCAATATCAGGCATATAAATTAAGATGTACAAGAAAATTGAATGGTTTTGTTTCATTTGATACAATCATGTTCAGTGAGAGGAGTTTAAGGAAGAAAATAATGGTGGTTGGGTGTATTGTGTTCTGCTGAACACTTGGTGGAGCAATAGATCCTGTGATCAAACCCAGTCGATTAGAAGTGCTGCAGTGCCATCTGGTGGAGAAAGCCTCACTGTGTTTTCCCACATATTTGAATGACAACTCACTTTTATGGAAACATATTTATCATCACCATTTTACAGCATACTCACGGAAGTACATGTGTTTTTGTCAGTGTATGTCAAATTCACATGAATCAAAACAATTTACAGCTTTATCATATTTGTTTAAGAGGGTCATATTATACAGCTGTTCCTGGTTTCTGCGGTAACAGGTGGAACTTGGACTCTTGTTTGAGGAAATTGACTTCTCCGAGGCAGATTTAACCACCTGTGGGTCTTATATTTTCCTGGGGAAAGTGAAGATGACATACAAATCCCCCACTCTGAGCTTTAAGTTAACCATTTCTTCTGTTTGATTCTTCTTTTCCCCTGTCCACACAGAGGAAGTGAGTGGGTGCAGGAGTTGGGTCACGAGACACTAGAGATATCCTGGGTGTTAGTTGTTTAGCTATTACAAGTGGCTGTGTGTTTAATTCTTTGTATTGCTCAAGTGAATTGGTTGAGTGGGTTAGATTGATCAGAAATCTGGAAACTAGGATGAAGCCAAAGTCAGTCTAATTATAGTGTTTCAGATCATTGTAGAACAGATGTTTGCAAAATTTAGGTGGAAGTCTAGTTAAAATGTTCTTTATAGAAAGATTTTAAAAGGCTGAGCAAAATGTTTCAGCAGTTTGAGGAGAAAATGTATTTGAGGTTTTGTTGCCACTCGTTGCACGGTGGTTGCCATAAGTACAGAGGTTGAGCCTCAGCTGTTGTTATGAATTGAGGACCTGGGTGACTGGACAGCTGCAAAGGCTAAGAAAGCAAAAGTTATTACTGTGTGGAGCAGTTGTCGTGTTTGGCCACTGAGTGTTTTTGTAACTGAAGGTGCAGAGAGCACAATAAAAGTGAGGTCAGAGAACAGCGTCCTTTAGGTCCCTTATAATCTCACTGTTATATACACACAATACATTTTTCCATCCATTATCTATAGTCACTGAGTCTTGTGAGGTGGGGGGGCTGGAGTCTGTCCCAATTGACACTGGACAAAAAGCAGGGTAGATCCTGGAGAAGTCACCAGTCAGTCAGAGGGCTGACATATAGACCATTTAAACAGAGAATAAAGGACTAACCCCAATATTTGAGAAGAATTGTTTTTTCATAATCAAATAATTTACAAACACATTAGATGTATATTCCTAAACTAAATATATTAACTTTTACATAAAAAATGTGACATGCACAAACCTTCTCATTGTCTCTACTGCAGTTTTTAACATATTACATGACAATTCTTACAGGACAGCCAGGGATGAACTGTAGTCCACAAATGTAGGGGAAACCCCCTCAGCCTTCTGCTGGAATGTGGCTTGTTTTGCGAGTCAAATCAGCTGCCCTGGAAAGATTGCCCTGGTGATGCCTTGGTCAATGTAGTGCCAGCTTGCCTTATAATGATCATATTTGGAAAGTCCCTGCAAGGCAAAACCTTAGAGACCAAAGGTGCTCCTTCTTTACTGTACTCTGGAAAAAAGATGATTTTATTATATTCATGTTGTTTTTTCATCTTGTGAAAGGGATGTTCTTTAGGCAAAGAGGGCAAAGGAGCTTTAGGATGCAAAGGGAGTCTAGAATTATGGGCGATTGAAAGCTTTTCTGGACTGGGTTCAAGAAGTGTTGACGAAGCAAGACTAAACATCGCAAACCGCAGTTGAAAGATTTGCACATGTGCTGGCTCCCCCTCCACTCCTGCCACCATGGGATTAGTTCCATCCTGGGACAGCAGCAACATTTACATGGGTGCTGGCAGACATGTGCACACACATACACAGACGCTTTACGTGCATACCCTCATAATTGGAGAATTTGGAGGAAAGTGTCAAGAATGATGAGGAAAATGAAAAATAAGAATCACAGAATTCCTGACTTAACCACAACTAGTAGCAAAATAAAGTGCTCTACACTGTACTGATGACATTTGGCAGCCTGGCTAGTTTCAGTCGCTCCCATTCTCAGGGCAGACATTTTGTCTTTCATACCAGGAAACACGTAAGTGTAACCAGTAACATTTATGTGGGACCATTTAGCAAAATAGAGATTTATTATTTCAACAAATTCTGGTACTCCTAAATGCAATGCTGCTGGTATGTTGTTAGTTATTCCTTTGTTTGATAAGTCAAAATAAGGCGGGTCTATTGCATCACTCATTTTTTAAATACAGCATGTTATATACGCTAAAGTGCTACTGTAGAAAGGAGGAACTTTAATCAAGCCAGTTTAACCTTCACCTAATCACACCTGCCTTTGAGACTGGAAAATATCAAATCGAGCTTGACTCATAATTACCAAAACACTTATAATTACCAAA